CGATCAGAACTCTACGCACCAAGCAATCTGCCACTGTCAAACTGACTACCAACGGGTCGTCATGAGGCAGTTGAACACGCTGCAGGTCTGTCCAGTCGAACTTTATCTGCATTGACGGGCTCTGCTGGTGTAGAGTGGTCACATTGCCGACCCTTTTCTTCATCTGCGCCTGCCGCAGGCGCACCCGTAGCAGCTCATCTGACTCTTCACTAGGCTCGGGTCGACCATGGATAGCATTGATTATACGAACTGGTTGCGAATTGTGGGAGCTTTGTTTATGACTCCTTTTTATTTGTTCCACTGGTCGATTCTGCTCCATCGCCGAGCCTTGAACATAACTCGCAAACTCCCCTCTAGCTATCAACATCTCCACTTGCCTCCTCAGGTTCCTGCATTCGTTAGTCTGATGTCCGAAATCAGAATGAAAAGCACAATGTTTAGTTTGATCCCTCTGTTCGAGGGGTTGTCTAATTGGCAGTGGTGGATGAAACTTGTCCTTGTTCTCCTGATACAACCTCGCCAGAGTGACCTTCAGCGGAGTAATCAACTCTTCCTCCCTGGACCTTTTTTCGGCCTTCCAAGTGGTCTGACGTTGCGGCTGAGCCTGCTTCTGCCTGATCTTTGCCTTGGACTTTTCCTCGGTCGACACAAGCGACGTTGTCCGAGCATTAGCTGCCTCCTCTTCTTCGAGGCGCACAAAGCCATCGGCTCTCTCATTGAGTTCATCCATGGTAGCTGGCGTATTCACTACCAGACTGGTGTGAAACGGAGTTCCGCGTGTCATGGCTAACTTGAAGGCTTGAACTGCCGTAGAAGGATGGCATTCGATTACCATACTCTTAGTGAGATTAAACCTGGTAAGAAAGGCCTGGAGCCGTTCATCCTTGTGTTGCCGCATCGTGAACAGGCTCGAGATGTCCTTCGGCGGGCGTTTGTTCCCATAGTACTGGCTTATGAACCGATCACACAGGTCCCTAAAACTGCCAATGGAGCTCCTAGGCAAGTTTTTGAACCAGCTGAGCGCCGGTCCGGCCAGGCTTGTAGGGAAACATTTGCACATTAAAGAGTCGTTTTCCGTATTCAGGGCCATTTTCAACTGGATATGATACACATGATCGATCGGATCGGTTGTTCCGTCAAACAGAATAAAGACTGGCATAGCAAACTTCCTTGGATGCGGCGCATTCAAGATCTCGTCGGTGAATGGTGAATCCACCGTCCGAGCTGCGGATCGGAGAGCTTCATTCTCTCTCTGGAGTCCAGCGGTAGCTCTGTGAGTTATGGTTCTGCCCTCCGAACCGTGATGAGTGACAGTAACCATGGAGGGCCGGTAAGACGGATCGAACGACCGTTCCTCTATGAACTCTCTCTGCCAAGGCGACGCTACTCGACGGCGATCTACCTCCATCACTTCCTCTCGGTCAAACCTTTCCCGCTGCGGATCAACGTGAGTCGATCCTTCGTGATCTTCAACTCGACGAACATTTGGCGGCAAATTGTCCATCATCCTTTCATCACGGTGGTGAGCTGACTGATTGTTCTCGTTCTGATCGCCTTGATGCGCGATACTAGATGGAACACCTCCTTCTCCGACCGGAAGCGGATGCGAAACTGCAGGTATTTGCCGATGCTGCAGTCCAGCTTTCAATTCTGCATTTTCTTTTCTGAGAGCTTCAATCAAGTTCATCAACTCTTCAAGCTTTGTTTGCTGGACAGCCTCAATCGGATTGGAGCTTTCACCTATCATTATTCCCGAACGGAGTAAAGGCATTAATCTCAAGTTCGCAAGTAGATCTGAGCTTCGTGAGTAGGAATTTTTAGATCTGGCTTCTAATTCTCCGAATTATGCTCACTGTTTACAAGATCTGAATTGTCTGAACTCTAAATCCGTCAGATCCTGCCACAATCGAGCAACTCGTGGTTGCGTAGATCTGAAGTCACTCCTGCCAAAGCTTCAAGAATCGTAATTCCTCCAGAGTAGGTCACAATCGCTCAGATCTGGATTCAAATCCGCAAGATCGAGTCTCGATCAACCGAATTGGTTTGAATCCATTCGATACTCCTCATTGATCAACCAAACTTTCATGCGTTTCCCACAGATGGCGCCAATTGAAGATGCAAGAAACTCCTTCTATTCTTTCTCTCTCTAGAATTCTTACACCTCAACCCGAAAAAGATCCCTCTCCTCTTCATTCCAACTCCTATTTATAGATACTTACAAGATATTTACAAGATATTTACTAATTGCTGGACCTGGGCCTATTCCTCTGTAAGCCCTGGTCACCCTTGATGGGCTTACTCCCGCTCGGCCCATATGGCAGTGTCTTTCTATGGGCTGACCCAGCTGTTCGGACTGAAGGTTGTGTTTTGCGAGTCGGACCTGGCCCATGTCATCCGGGGCCTCCTCAATAGCAAAACAAAATTAGAGAGTTTAAAATGAATAACCACTGCCCCAACTATACTGCAATGGAATTAGGGTTACATAAAAAGTGTGAAATTCTAAAACACTTCCAAAAATTCAGGTAAGGTGTAGAATATTATCAGGCTTCGGACTTCCTATCACCCTCCAACATCTAGTATAAGCGAGAGTGCAAGACATAACTGGAAGATCCACTTATTTAGCTACAGATGCCTATATATATATATTTGACTTTCATAAAATATACGAATAATTCAATGCATGTTGTTATTTATTTATTTATTTCCCGGAAATGAAAGTAAACACCCACATCCACACCTACAAATGCCCTTTGTGTGGCTCAAAGTCTCAACCTCTCCCTATGGACAGAAGGGATCATACCACCTGCGCTAGAGACCCAGTGGTGATTCAGTGTACATATATCTTACTTGCAAAAGCAGCAAAATAGAATGCGCCCCTTCTATATTCTCCTATGTCATGTCTTTTTTATGAATATTAGATTCTGGAATTTTATGTTAACTTGGTCACTAATTCAGTGTGGAAAATCAGCTTGCACTCCTAAAAATAGATATAGATATTGATACCATCTTGCTTAATTAGATCAATTATATTGCAGGTATTAGTTACAAAACTATACATCCCTCCTGATGCTAATTTCTTCTGTAAAGGAGATTGGCATCATTCTAATATGTTGTTATTGTTCTTGCATGATAGTGAAAAAAATTCATTTAAGGAACAACTCAGTTAATTTGGCTTTTTTATTGAAGTGTCTGTGTATCTATTGGAATTATCTAATTACTTTCCAGTAGTTTGCCACTTAGCATTCCAACCTTAACACCGGTCAATCATGTGATTTCAATAGAGACAAAGTATCTGCTACAAATAACTGGGAACTAAAACCTCACAATCTTCTTACTGTAGAAAATCTAATCTGAGAACTGCTTCATTAAGCATCTTGTTGCGCCTTGGATGGATAATCAATGTGGTATAAACTTTTAAAATATGGTGTAGATCAATTTGGTAAAATGAAATGAAGAATGATCTTGATTTTGAAATAGGATTTCCTTGCAGTGTTATATGCAAATTATGAATTATCATCATTTATTGACAGTTCATTTAAATGGATCATTAAATACCCTAGCTATTTTGGGACCATGATGAAGTTTATAAGATCTTTTCTTTCCTTAGAATAATTGTTCATATCGACCATATATATGCATATACATATATTTATACAGTTTACAAATGAGGATTCCCTCTCTTGTGAGAGCACCATGGTCCCCTTCCTGTGAAGATTTTATTGGCATGAATACATATTATCAGGGGGAAAAAAATTTAATGTTCTTTCATGCGTGTTGCAAGTTTATATCAGGGAAAAAACATTAAATGTTCAAATTTGTTCATTTATATGGTTTAAGGGTTTGATGGTGGGTTTTACATTAATTTGCATTTTGATTTATATACGCTGTGGATTGTAGTAAGGAAGGCATTGATTGATACCACTTTGTACGAAGCTAATTATGAAAGAAGGAGAATTAGTGAATAACACTTCAACTTTTTAATATAATCTCAAAAAATAAAATTTACAAAAGAATTCTAGAAGGATAGGGGGCAGCTATGTTTAGACTTGGTTTTCTCATCTTCTAACAAATTGATTTATGTTTTTCACAATCTCTTGAAGTTCTCAACATATTTTTGGTTTAATCTTCCAACATTGGCTTTTGGAAGAAATTATTAGATTATCTTAGAACATTTGGTTCAGCCCAATCAAAACTCTCCCACTAAGAAAAGTGGATCCGAAAGGTTAAATAAGATATTATAAATAAATAAATAAAACCCGAACATATATTTTGAGAAAAATGTTTTGCAAGCCCAATACTAGCCGAGAGCATCCCAACCACGGAAGCATCCCATGGTTGGGAGAAATAATTTATTGCTCGGTTCGTATTAATGACATGGTATTACCAATTGACTAAATACTGACGCATAGTCTGACTCACTAAATGACTTATGTGACAAGATATAATTGATTGATGACAAGAATGACATAGTATAAATGGTGCAGGAAGTCTTTCTTGTTGGTTGGGATGCCCAGCACTTCGGTTGAAGCTTTGGGCTTATTTAGCATTACTCTTATTTTGATTGGACGGTATTGGTTTGTGGTGAAAGACCATTTAATAATTTCTTGGCTTTCACATAGATCGCATTTATAGTTTACTGTCATTTGGTACAACAGGAGGGGCACTTGGTCTATGAACTATGAAGACAGTCTAGAAGATAGTTTATGACACTGTCTGTGTTTCTGGTTGATCATTCAACAACTGTATTGATTTTTTTTTACTTTTGTTATACAGTAGCAGCTTTATCTTTTGTGTGTGTTTATCCTATGTTTCTGATTTGAGAGAGCGATATATAGAGAGAGAGATCAGTGTACTGTATCGTATTCCCTCTTTAAATGTTGGTCTTTGGAACCTGTTCAAATTCCAATATTACTTTTGAAAGTTCTTATCTTTTTAGGAGAGCTTTGCTGTAATAGTACTTTTAGGAGACACTGCTGACTATGATTTCGACCTCTTTGCAGACCCAATTTATGCTTGATCAGCTTTCTGATTTTCAAACCAAGGTACCTCACCTGCATTTGGAATAAAATTTCTTGTAAATCAACTTATATATATATATGCTTCCATTATTTGACATAAATTACTATTGTTCAAATACAGGAAAGGATGTGGGTTGAGGCCAACAGGGCATTAGAGAGGAAGGTACTAATCTAATGCAAAATTGACAGATTATGTGTAAAGTTAATATGCCTAAGTTTGATTTACTGCAAGCTTTGCATGTTACTTGATTTAGCTTGAATAACATGTTTTCCCCTGTATAATACATATTTTATCTTATTGTTGGCGAAAATTGCTAAGTTTTTCATTAGTTAGGATTCTCTACAGTGCACTGCAGCATGCTGTATGAGTTTTCAATGCAATCAAATCTAATTGGAAGTAATGTGTTGAAACATGATTACAATACATTAGTCAGTATTTCAACACCATTACTTTCAGCTTCAAATAATGTGTTGAAACACGATTTATTTGTATTGAAAACGTACAACACAGCCATATTAGGAAATCCGCTATAACAGAGGTTCGAGGTGCATTTTCATGTATTTTCGGAGGTTGTTAAACTATATGCATTTTAGATGTCCACAATCTGACAAGGGGACTGTTCATAGATTTTCCTCACCTTTGTTTATAGATTTTTTTAGATTAAATATGTGCCCTTCAACAATTTTACCTATTCTTTCTTCTTGTATCTTTTGAGCCCAATACCCCCTTTCCATTCTACAATAAATTTTACATATAATCTGCTGGTGTTTGGCAGCTGGATGAAATGTATGCAGAAAACCACCACATGCAACCACCATGGGCAGGTGGTGATCAACACAATCCCTTTGCCCACCACCAGCATGCTCAATCGCAGGGGTTCTTCCAGCCTCACGACTGTGATCCCACTTTGCAAATAGGGTAAGCTTTTACATTTCAATCCATATTTTATACTCTAAATGTTGGTTCAATGGCTTATTTAAACATGCTCCAAACATTTTTTTTTTCGTATACAGGTATAATACTGTAGGTACAAGCCAAATTACAGCTGCAACTCATGCCCAAAATGTGAGCGGATTAATCCCCGGGTGGATGCTCTGAATTGCTCTCAGAAAATTATCTACCAGGTAAATGGATTTTGGTGGGTGATGATATGTAAATGGATTGGCTTACCATATGTATCCTATAATAAGAGGAAAAACAGCAGTGACTGATTTTCAGACCACTATGTAACCATTGGACATGGCTTTTAAGACCTTATAGTACTTTTAATTTGGTGAATGTTGAGAGACCTGATTTCTCTCTTCATTTGAGAACAATTTGACATAAGGTTGTTTGACCATTTGAAAACATGCAATGTATTTTAATTTGGTGACTGTAATATATATATATATATATATATATAGTGTTGTTTGTAAGATTGTTGACCTTATTCTCTCATAAGTGTTGATTTTCTACTGCTTATATAACACATAATGTCTACTAATTAAAATATGCTTTCACATAATATTTGATTTTGAATGATCATAGGACTAGTTTTGATGAAATATCAACTCTGTATAAATATGTAAAAGTCAAAGTAGTATTGATTGACTGAGCTTTGATGTTTGAATTGGATCATGAAAATTTTCAAATAAAAGTTTCTTTCTAGTGAATTTTTAGGGTTCAGTCAAATTAGTTCCATTTGCATTTTGCAATACTAATATGTTCATTTGTGTGACTGTTGGAAATGTTGTTAATATATAAAGCTGAGTGCAGAGCAGATCTTCAAGTTGTTAATTCACTCAAGTCAAATAATATTTCAACTGTTTATGTTCATATTTGTATTGCAATGAGATAGTGATAGACATATGAACCATGATAGAGTCAGGCATGACAGAGAATGCAGAATGACCACATACTCTGTTAGTGAATGATGAGGTTATGATGATGTAAGCCATCGATGTTATTTATCACTTACATAAATTAAAAAATAAAAAATTAAATAAAAAAAGAAGGATGCTTTATCATTTTTCGAATTTATAATCTAGAATTTAGAAGGTCTCACTCCAGTCACTAGCCTGCCTTCAGCATTCCCCTCCTTGCAGTTAAGGTAACGACTTTGGGCATGGCTAGCTCCCATAGTGTGACGGGCGGTGTGTACAAGGCCCGAAAATGAATTCACCGCTGTATAAATGATAGACGATTACTAGCGATTCCGGCTTCATGTTCCGAATTATAATCTAGAATTTAGAAGGTCCTTCCTTAGATTGGTCCCTCTTAACTCAACAAATACACCATTTTCATTCCAAAACTAGAATGAGGTTAAAGAGTCTTAGATGTTTCTACCAAAATGAAGATTACCAGTGTTGGATTGCAGGTAAATTTGTACATTGAACTTTGGTCATTGAAATATTTTGTTGTATAAAGATATTCTAGGAGAAAAAAATGTTAAATTGAAAAGTAATTTGACTGTCAAAACTCAAAATGATTTTCAACTTTTTCTAGTCATATTAATACTTTTTGTTAATATTATTACAATCCTAGCAAGAAATCCCCGACGGTGAGTAGAGATTCGTTGTGTTCGATACACCGTGTACTGGGCTAATCTGAGTCGTGCATACACAACACGTGCTAGCACATGCACATCACGAATGGCTTAGATTAGACCCGTGCACGGGGCGTAATGAATATTTATTCCCTATAAAGAGAAGAAATATCAATAAGTTACAAAACTTGGTAGGTGAATTAAGTTCACCTCCTAAATTCTATTAATAGAAATTTCAACTTTTACACGAGACTTGCTTAGGCCTCAGAGACTTGGATCATCTCATGCACCGAAGAGGTCTTGCATTCCAGTAAAGGTTGAGATTGCATCATCATTTAACGAGAGTTGACTATATTAAATTTTCATCGCAAAATCTTGCCTAAAACCATAAGAAAAGCTATTAGGTACTCAGTATAGCAATTATTAAATACCATTGACGAATCAAAACACTCCATTTCCTACCATGAAGAGTTGAGACCATGAACACCCAGATTTACACCTCAATAGTTGGAAGGCTGTTGTCATTTGAGCTGGTTGACCTAAAGCCTAATAAAGCAAATATCAACACCAGAATTTAGTCACACCAACAGTTTGGGAAAAGAAGCAATTTTGTTCCACTATAAATTAAAAGACAAAAGTTGTGTCATTTTAAGAAATATCACTAGGCTGGTCTAGGCCAGCTAAGTGATTAACTTTGTCTAATATAATCATCTATCTATACATATAGATATAGATATAGTATTTGATTGGGACTACTGCATTATTGGGCTTTCCTTTGTCTGTCTTTTCTGGTTCCTATTAATATTTGCACATGCATTTTCTTATATTGGACATCAGTCATTATCTGTGGGCTTTCAGCCCGTCTATTAATCACATGATGGTGTTGTTGAAAAAGACAAACTTGATGTAAGACGAATTGGATCAATACCATTTTCCATTGGGAGTGGAATTTGACTTGACTAACCCGAGTAATTCGAGTTTCGTTCAGAAATTTTACTCGTAGGATTTAAACCTTAGTTCCCAAATTTATTTTAAGGCTCCATTTAATATACGTTTTATTTTTGTTATTTTTATTTTTTGATTATTATAATGTCGATTTTGACAACAAAAATATGTTTGGTGCGGCATTGTTTTATTTTACACCGTGCAAAAACACTTCGTGAATAGTGACCCAAAACCAAAACACCAAAAACTCATTTTTTTTTCTTATTTTGACAATTGTTAATGGTTCAAAACCATAACAGTAAACAATTGTTCGTGACCTAAAGTCAAAATTTTCATAACAAAATATCATTCCCAAACGTACTTCCGATTTTTTTCCAAAACACTCCTACAACAAAAACACTGTTTCATATAAAAACAGAACGCCTAAAACATAGCGCATGCCAAACGGGCCTTGATATTTAAGCAAATGTTTGACAAATTCGAGAAAGCCAAATACAAGAACAATTTGTAGTATTTATATTTTTAAAGCTATATGTTATTCATATAAAATAAAGTTGAGATTGCAAAATTTATTTTTTGGTGGAATAATAATATTATTAGTAAGTATTAGCCATTTTCACTTGGTTGTTGTAAGAACTAGAAGTAAATAACATAGTATAAGTTTTCTTGCAAAAAGAAAAACATATTATTAAGTTAAGTTTATGAATTACTCCGCAAATAATAAAGAATACAAGTCTAACAGCAACATTGTTGAATCCCACTATTTTGATATCAGTTCTGATATATGCAATTGTCTGTATATGTTTTTATTTAAAAAGCTATAAATTATTTGTCCTGACTCTGAGATTATATTGCGGCACATAGGTTGGTAATTTTTCTTGCATGATATGAGTGGGATTTACTTCATTAATTTTTATTTATTTATTTATTGTTAAACCTTCTAACTTCTAATTTGAAAATGAGAAAATACCAATAGACCGCGTGCTGGTGATTTCACTTCAAGTTATTGTTCCTGTTTTAATGCATAAATTTTAACCTTTTTTTTTCTTTTATTGGCTCGCAAGCATTTAACATCAATATAGTATGCAAATAGCTCATATCTCCCTATAAGTTCTGAAAACATTTTAGGAGCGAACAATGATCTTCCCTCATTCAAACATTAATGGAGTGATAAAAATATAAAAATGCCCTTCCTACATTAAAATAAAAATAATAAAAAATTTAATTAATGTAAAATGACTATTATGGTCTTTATTAAACGACCCTGTTAGGAGAGAATGAGATTTATATAAAAATAAAGGGTAAAGACATTTGCGAAATCAAATAAGGGCATTTTTGGTATTTAATACAATTAGATAGTCATGTGACCCATGTGCGTAACGGTATATTTCTAATACTTGAATGTTGAAAAGTCCAATTTTACAATATTTATAAGTTTTCAAGAAATTATATATCCAAAATAAGAGAGAGTGAGTGTTATTTGTAAGGTTGTAACTCGGGCGGGTTGGACAAATTTGAGGTATAACTTGAACCCAACCCATCATACGAAATGATAAACTAAAACCCAACTCTAACCCTATCTTTAACCTTAACTACTCAATCCAACCACAACTCATCCTTCTACTTTTAAATTAAGGCTTGCAACTCAGACTTAAATTTCGGGTAAAAACTTCGAGTTAATTTGAATTACTCATATGACTAATTCGTACACTAAAAATTTAACATGATCTTTAATTAGTTTTAGATTAAATTACTCTTAAATAAGAAAAAGTTTAAATACTTTTTATAAATTTTTAATAAATTACAAACAAAGTTTTAGAAATTAATTCTCCTAACATTTAACAAAAGAAGTTAAAAAGAAAAAAAGTAATCATACTTTAAATATTATATGTAATGTATTTAGAAGTAAAAATATACATGAAAATAATATTAGAATTCGAATTCGGATTTACTCGGATTACTAGCACTTCAACCCAAGTCCAATCCTAATTAAATTCGAGTTGAGATTTTTCAACCCAAACCTAACCCTAATTGTAAAAATGATTGTCCAAACCCGTGAAAAATTAGGTTAGGTTCGGGTTGAGTTCGAGTTACCCAACCCAAGTTACACCCCTAGTTATTTGCTCAAAAAGTATATACATATATATTTTTCCTTAGAACACATGTATCGGCTCCAGAATATAAGCACTATTGAAGTCAAGAGTGCGGTTCAAAGGTAAGATCTTAAAAACTTACTTCCTAAATCCTTATCAACATCGCAGCGCCTCTGGGAGCCTCAAAAAAATAAATCTTATTGGTGTTTTAAATACTTAACCTTATTTTATTTACTAGAACAATTTTTAAAAACCCGTGAAATCTGTTCGGTATGGTACTTTGGGTTTGGTACTTTGGATTTGGGGAGGTATGACTTCTTGACCCGCCCAATCTGCCTAAATTCTAACCCTAGGAGTTTACATAATTTTTCATCTCCAATACTTGGTGATGCTTTATTGTGTAGTTCATAATGCGTCACGTCAGCTAATTAATTTTTGTCTTGTTTTTTCAAAATAAGTTGATGAAAGATGAATTGATGCCGCATTGAATTATAAAAGTAACGAAGAGGATTCAAATTCGACAAATATACCAGGAGGAGGTTTTGTCAAACAGTCAAACTCAAGATCCAAATTTTTTTACTTGGACCACATTTTTTGTTCTCTCCTTTTGGCTTTTTTTTTTTAACTAATTATTAAAATAAACTTTCACATAACAATCACTTTTTTTTTTTTTTTTTTTTTTTTTTTACGATATACTAATAAGAATACATATCATTCTACTGCTAACGTGGATCTATAACAAATAGATCAAAATGTTCTTTATTAATTATTAAATCAGAAATAGTAATTAACCCAACATTTCTATTTGATAAGTGAATATGCACACCCACTATTGATTTGATAATTAAAAAAT